ACTCATTCAGCGATCGCGCAACGCCCGATTCTGAGTCGAGGGTGAGCAGAGTTGAAGGGTCGAGGCGATGAGGTCCCTCGAATGGGCTCCTGTCGGATTTTCGTATATTTCCAGAGTCTATTCGGGGAGCTTTTACGACGGATGAAACAGAAGTTTGGTCTTCTCGTGAATGCATCACGATCTTCCGTTAAATATGAGATTTATGTCGTGTTTCTGAGGCATTTCCCTTGGCTTTCGGCTCCCTCGGTCCCAGGTGCTTTAAGCACCTGTTGAGGCAATGACGAGATGACTTGCAATATGCATATGAAGATGAGAGATCATGATTCGAAAGGGTTTCACCCCCGTGTTCCATGAACACTGTAATGGAGCAGACCCTCTCATTCGACAAAGTAAGAGGCGGCGCCAAAAAAAGAATAATAATTAAAAAAATACAATAGATGAGACCGAAGATCCGAGCCCCAACATGATCATCAACGGCAAAACCGACAAAAATAACACATTCACTGTCACGTAGGTGATAAAGGATGCTTTATAGAGCACTTCCATCACGTCACTCATTACCATAACTCGTTCCCCAAAAGCCACCGGACTCCGCAGTGCAAACGCGGGTGAACCGGCCATCGCGCCGCTGCACGGTGTCGCTCGACGGTTGGACACGCGCGGACGGTCGGACCGAGGCGGGATCCCGTCGATGAGAGGGAATGTGTTTCAACTAATCAGCATTGAAAGGGATTGAAAGGGCTCTTCTGTTCAAGAAACCGGTTGAAAGAGAGGCGGGAGATAGCACTCTTTCAGAATTCCAGTGACTTATGACATCATTATGTCACGTACGACAGAAACTAATTATGCAGATGACATACAAGGCGTAAGTTTTAAGCTCTTCAAACATCCGGCGGATTGTGTTCTGTTGTTGGTGATATTTCCAAATAAAGAGAAGTTTCCCCACTTACCTAATTCGGTTCGTAGACCGGCTCCTGTTCTGGAAAATCTCTGGCATATCTGCTGCAAGGAGTGAGAAATTCCCTCGATCGAGTTAACACGTTTCGGGTTAAAAGTTTGAAGAAAGATAGAGACAATACTGAGACTGGCGAGCTGGTCGGAGTCCGTCAGGAAAATAGAAAAGCGAGAAATCCAGGACCTTCCCCTCCAGCGTTTTTTTTTTTTTAAAGAAATTCCGAGACTTTCGATGAGGAGGGGAGATAACGAGTTTCACTTCGTAAACAGACGGAAACCGACAGGCAAGGTATTGCCTGATTGCGGTTTTACACAAGTTCGAACGAAACTGCATTCATTTTGATGCACTAAATAAGTTTATTCGATATTGTTTTGCGCCATCGTCCGACAATGCTGTTGTTTCATGCCATAACTGGCAGAAAAATGCTAATTCCGCACACGTTCTACGTAAGTTACGTTGTCAATTCGATGCCTATTCGTTGCGATTGGCCAACCTTGAAAGTAAGTCTGGTGAAAGTTTTCATTCAATTTAGAAACAATAAATTAATCTGAAGCCCAAAGGTCCAATGTCTCCGTCCTTCCGGCCTTCCGGATTCGGCTTTAGCTTTGACACGACAACTAAGAAATTTCTCGATCGAAATTGTCATTTCCAATGACTTTCCAGGTCGGGGTGAGCGACTTTCCCACGTGGCTCAAAGAATCTTACGCAAACATATATTCTCGGGATGCAACCTCGACGGCTCGAGACAAAAGAAGTCATAAAAAGGGGACGAGTCTAAATACCTCTAGCCCCACCCTGTGCCTGACAGGATTTATCGGTGTGCCAATCCCATGTACCAACCCCGTGTGCCAATCCCTCGTGCCAATCCCCTCCCAGCGGGGAGAGCAAGGGGAGAAGGGGGACGAATTTCTCGGCCTCGTAGATTTCGCCTTGAACGGCGTGGACACGCTTCGGCGACGGGAGGCAGCGGCCCTGGATTCGAGTCGCATGCTTGCTGCTTGCCGCTTCAGAATTTCACAGCCAGTTCGGAGGTGGACTTCATGCGGGGATGTTGACGGATGAGCTCCCTGGGGTCGGGCCATGAGGTCCATGGTCGTTCCATGAGGTATATGGTCGTTTCGTGAGGTCCATGGTCGAATCAAGAGGTTCATGGTCGTTTTTATATGCTGTTTCGCTTGAAAAAATTACAGGATTGCTGTTTCTGCTGGGTGGTAGGTCGACCCGATTCTTAATTTTCTATTGTATTAATGGCCGATCGAAGTCCTCTCGGGTCAAATGAGCTCCCAGATGGATTATCGAGCGAGAGACGATTTGTTGAACAGAAGATCAGAGAGTTTTATCGTAGGGATGCTGAGGAGACCAGCGTCGCAGAGATGTTCGACTTCCCGATTCTCAATATCCACATCCGTATGGATCCCGAACAATTACAGTCCGACTCGGTTAGAACGAGACATTACAGATTACAGCCTCGATTACAGCGTCGAATTAAAATCCGTGGAATAAGGCCTGTTCTCAGCGAGAAGCCAATGAGACACGCGTGTTTATGCTTCGCTTATAGCGAGTTTGCTTATTGCGAAAACCTCGGTCATAACGAAAGCAATTTTTGTCCCACTGACACAATTGGCGAAGTTGAGACGTTATTAATTCGTCGTCATGCTCCGCAATAACTGTAAATTCCATAGTTAGACGCAACGAACATTTAAAATCCCTAGCTTACTCTATTCTGTCGTTTCCATTCCTGAGGCTCTCATGTGCCTGCAATGAGCGTGAGGATGGAGTGTGAGGATGAGCATGAGGATGAACGTGAGGGTAGAGTGAAAGACCCAGAAATCTTATCCTAATCTTTATTTGTCAGCCTTCACGAAGGAGCAGAGAGACGGATTTGACAGAAAATGGGAAAAGTAACCGGGAAATTGCAACCATGGTTATAAAACTTGGCAGCGACGACGATTTTCCCCCCGGTCCCTCCGATGACGTCATATAACCGAATGCGACTGAATTTATTTAGTTCATGGTCGCCATTAAAATACTGAAAGCCGATAGAAAAGTTAATATGGTCTGCTGTGGGAATTCGAGAGTGAAAGCATTTGCCAACAATCTGAGGAAATTAAAAGTTGGTGCCAATAGTTCAAGTTATGCGAGGTCAGCAGTTGCCTCTAACAGCAGTTCTTTTTTATTGTTATTTATTGTTATTTAAAGAACGGTGGAGCCGAATGCTAGAATAGCGAAAGTTTAAGATGAGGTACTGATAAATTTTTCTTTAAAATGTAATTAACTTCATGAAAGTTTATTTAATGAAAGAAAATAACTAAGTAACCAACTTAATAAATAATAAATATGTTCTAAAAATTAAATAAATTCGTTCAGGCGTCTATAAAAGTGGCATGTTAAAACTTTTACTCGTCTCACGAGTGCTTTATTGCCCGGAGCACTTAGCGGCACGGCGGGCAAAATATTCAATGAATTTCGCAACTCGGGAATCGAAAGCAGAAATACAAGGAGGGATAGCCAAACGTCAAGCTAGCTGCTTAAGCCGAGTCTCGAGAAAAGAGAAGGGAAAAAAAAAATCATTGCATTCACGTACGCCCGACATGACCCAATGTCGTTCGAGCCATATCCACTCGACTTATGGCTTGTTGCCACATACTCGAGCGAAGACGTAGAAAGGTGTCTGCCACTCGGCCTGGATCCAATCTGGCATACACTTTTGCAACTGGGGCACTGATTCGTGTGTCAGCTTTCGGGTATGGTTCGTTAGAGGGGCGACACTTTATCACTTGCCGATCTCCATCTTGCACAATGGACACGGGCCTTTAAAGTTCTTAATGCGAGGGTGTCTCCAAGCGATGCAAATGAGGCCCAGAGGCACACGAAGATGCATCGAATGCATCGAGTTCTCCTTCTGTGACGTCACGGGTGTTAAAAATGGATCTACTTGGTATGCCGTGCCGGACAGTTCATTTCCGTCCTTCTGATGAAGTTTTGCGTTTGCATCAGCCGTCGGTCGAAGTGCCAAACCATTTATTTTCGTTCATCGAAAAAACGAGCGAAGTCGATTCCGAAACTTCACGGCTCTAATGGCAGCCACGGCACGGATTGCTTGCTAACGAGAAAATTGCTGAGCTATGGCCAGATGGACGAAGACGTACGAATAAATAGATTTCATTCGCATAAATTCCGTCTATTCTCCTTCGTCACGAAATACAGGTTGCCGACACGGGTCGTCGCTCGTAACGAAGTTTCCTCACCGTTGCGATGGTGTCTTCCGCCTTTCTTTAAATATTCTTCATGCGTTCACCCACTTTCCGCAGGAAGAAGGAGTGTGACCCAAGAAAATGACGTGCCTGATCGCTTCGAAATGCCTTCGTAACGCCATCTTTCGTCTTTCCTTCGGCTGTCGAAGGTCAGCAGGCTGTTTTAAACGAAATGACGGAGAAATCATTACTCTCATAATACTCCTGCAGGTCGTCGACGAGTTTCTGCAGTTTCTTTCATTAGTCTCAGATTTCCTTACTTCTCGGGGCAGAAACTTCCGGATAAACCGTTGAAATTCTCAAGAGTAGTTTACACACCCTCCAGTTGGTGCTTTACAACGAGGAAAATCAATATTTGCATCTACGGCAGTTTTTGTTCTCTTCAGCGTCTCATCCTTTCCTTTTCGGATCGAGTTCCCAGACAGTGAGTGTCCCGTGACTGGAGAAACGGCCTGAAAGCCTGAAAGGGTTTCCCGAGAGGCAGTCGAGCAAGTGGCAGACGCTTTGGGGGGAGACGGACGGGGGAGACCGGAGGAGACCGGAGGAGACCGGGGGAGACAGTTGCGAGCTGAAAATCCTGCCGCAAGGCTTCCTTCGCAATGCGGAATGAAAAGGAAAGTGCGGGGCGGGGAGGGGCAGGACCTCCGCCCGTGGACCGATCCCCTTTGTAACCCCGGCGATATGCCGTTACGAATCATCGTGCTCTTCCAATTTCACATGGCACAACGGATTTTTATTTCACAACCAGACATAACAAGAAAAAAATACACGGAAACGATCACGACGTGGAATCAAGCATTATAAGTGCGGACTTGTTCGGATCTCTGGTATCTGGGCACGGCCGCATAATAGACCTGCGGGGTGTCGGCTGCCGGCTGATACTGAACGGCCGGACGCGGGGCATACCGAGGCTCCTCGTAGACGGGCTTGTAAACCGGCTTCTCCTTCTTTGGTGGGGGATCGGGCGGGTAGACGGGAGTTCCCTCGTACTGGACGTCCGCCACGAATCCCAGCTCGGGGTGAGCCCGGTATCTCACGATCTGGCGGCGGGTGTCGGGGAGGTCCACCACGTACTCGCCGATCAGCTCGTAGCCGTCGCGGTTCTCCTGCTTGCTGAATTTGGTGCCTTCGTAGTCGTCTTCCACCTTGAAGCCGTACTGGTAGCTCACGGGCTCCTGTGTCGGGAATACACGGTTTGAATGCGATGAGGAGAGAAATCGTTGCATGTATGAAGCTATTTCCTCGTGCGATCGATTCGACATGGATTGGTGCGCTTTTATCAGATCGGCGGGGTAATAAACCTTCATTCATAAAATATTTCTCACGCGAGAAGTGCGCGAGTAAGGTATTGTTACATAAGCTGCACCAAATCTTCCTCATCTGAATTGACCTGGATGCGACAGAAGTACATATCGAAAGAAAGGCAGATTATGCCCACATATTACCGAGAGTGAATGAAAAAATGGCAATATTGAGTTTCATCCGATGCTAATTATTTGAATGAACTCACGTTGTGGTATGGATCGTCCTTGATATTGGGCTTGAGGCCATAGCCTTTTGGTGGCTCGGAGTAATTTGGAGGACCTGGCTGGTAAGCAACCGGGATGGGTGGCCGGGGAACGTAAACAGGCGGCCCTTTCGGCTCGGGCCGCTTATCCGGGTGCCCCATGCTCAAAGCACAGAGCATACCCAGCAGAACGCATCGATACTAGAACAAAAACGGGGAAGTGCATGAAAGGCTTTCATACTAAAGCCCCAAATGCGAAAAACGAATATACTCACTTGTAACATGACGATGAAGATGCGGATGTAGATCAGCAGAGGGACCGAGAGCAAGATAACGGTTTCTCACCGTGAGAAAAAGTGAACTAACCTCTGGGCAAATGCGTCAGGAGCCTTTTATAACCACTTTCCCTTCCTTCCCTTGCCTCGCATTGTGTAACGAATTACGTTCTCTTTTTGCTCCCCTCTCCATCTCGAGTGCTGCTCTTCCGATGGACCAACAACAAAAAGAACACTCGAGAAAATCGCCTCCACAAATCAACGCCACGACTTAACGAATGCGATATTTCCAGCGAAAACAATCCAGGAAGCAGAGAAAATCCATCCCCAAGTCCATTTTTGGACAACACATCGCGTGGGAAACCGACGCGAGGGCTCCAGGAACTCGAGCGTTATGCAATCCGGTCAACAAGGAACGATTCTTCTCTCAGAGACCTCCTGCCCACGGTGATGGATTGGAAGGTTCCGTGAAAGTGTTCCACCCCTGACACAAGACCGTTTCTTGTCATCCTTTCGACCGTGAAATGATTGGAAATAGGGTTGATTCGTTTCCGTGGTCGTGACGTGATTTTCACTTCTCTTCCTTCTTCCTCTTATTTCCTCTTCTTGCACATTTTTCGCAATCTCTTACTGCCTGTCCACTTATCACTGAAATCGTGTGCCATCTTTCCCTCAGGGGATGCTTGCTTCTTCCTTTTTTTTATTTTCTTCACGCCAGAATTTCCAGATCATCGATTTCCTCGTCTATTTCCGGAACAAATGGCCAAGAACTTCAAAAGCCAAGCTCCATTTCACAGTTTCCCGCCGACCGTCCGGATAGAAAGGCCGAGCAGACAACAGTTACGTCAGAAACTCCGCATTCTACAATGAGGTCATTCTGCAAACGCATCGATTCTAATGTAATGGCAATCGTGGGTCGAAGAAAGCCATGGTCATTTATCGTATTGCTCCTCCCCGTGGGGGAGCTCTGCGGGGGGAGACAATTGCGGAAACTGCGGCTCCCCAGAGTGAAAGTCCTCGAAAAACGGAGACAATAAAAAATCATTATGGTTTCGGGTGTATCTGCATGCGTCTCCACCAAATATCATCGGGACTCCCCCACCCTGGGATGAGGCCCGTTTCGCAATGTTTACCCACACGGAATCTCATGCAAATGTGTCTGGTGAAAGGCAAGAATCGAGTTCGTGATCTATCTGTATCACGAATCCGACCTGACCTCGAGTGACCCCACCCACGGCATGGTCAGAATGACCATTTAAGCTTGAAGAGAACTCTGACCGCCGGCGAAATTAAAAAAGAGATCCATTAAAGAAAAAAAAAAGCATGAGACCAAATGTGTAACGCATAAATAAGAAGGGATTTATATTTTTTTTTTTATATTGAAAGATGACATAGCCGGGTAGAGGAAGCAATGTTCATAGGCGATGCTCCCATCCATTCGGCCATCATTACGGATATTAATGGCATCACGGGCCCTATCATCAAGGAGAATTATGCAAAAAGCCTTGCGTCACGGTCCTCTCCCCCGAAATGAAGTAATCAAATCCTTTCCAGGGCGCAGCCTCGATTCACGACGAATCCTCGCCGCTTTATTGCCCCTCCAAAAAAGTCGAAACAAGTTGACAATTCCACAGGTACTGAAACACATCAGAGATTGCACCACAAAAACGAACACAGATACGTACGTACACCACAGAGAAATCCGACAACATCGATCGAGCGATCAACCACCGGGAACACTTCCTGAGATTCAGCCAAGAGTAAAGCATTTTTTCACATGGGGGAAAAAAATGAAACACGTGAGACTAGGAAGGCTCCTACATACCTCGAATGAAAGACTTTAATATATTACAGCTTCTCGTCATAAATAGTAGGGATGAAGAGGAGTTTATTAATAATCCGGACGAGGGTGCTCGTAGGCATCGTATTTGGGCTTGGGCTCGTATTTAGGCTTTGGCTCGTATTTGGGCTTCTCGTAATGCTCGTAGACCGGCTCACCTTCGTACTTGACATCGGCTTTGAATCCATAGTCGTCAGCAGTGTAACTGACCTTCTGGACTCGGGAGTCGGGGAGACGCACCACGTAAGAACCTTGCGTTTGGTAGCCGTCTCGGTTCTCTTCTGCGGAATAGTAATTTCCGGAGTATTCGTCTTGGACGTGGTAAGCGTATCGGTAATCAGGTGCACCCTGCAGGGATGAAAATGATTATCAATGAGGTGAAGAATTTGTCGATAACCATAAATCTCTAACTATTTTTTTTTTTAGAATCTGCGAAAACTTACGTAGTCTTCTTGGGCTTCGTAGGGTTTCTCATGGTAGGTTGGACGCTTGTTGCTGTAGGAAGGCTTGGGGTCGTAGCTTGGAGCTGGGTACGATGGCTTTGGTGAGTAAGACTTTGGCTTGTAGGCAGGCTTGTATTCCGGCTCAGGCTTGTATGCTGGCTTGTATTCCGGCTCAGGCTTGTATGCTGGCTTGTATTCTGGTTCAGGCTTGTAAGCTGGCTTGTATTCCGGTTCAGGCTTGTAAGCTGGCTTGTAAGCTGGTTCAGGTTTGTAAGCTGGCTTGTAGGCTGGTTCAGGCTTGTAGGCTGGCTTGTAAGCTGGTTCAGGCTTGTAGGCTGGCTTGTAAGCTGGTTCAGGCTTGTAGGCTGGCTTGTAAGCTGGTTCAGGCTTGTAGGCTGGCTTGTAAGCTGGCTCAGGCTTGTAGGCTGGCTCATAGGGAGCTGGTTTGTAGGCTGGCTCAGGTTTGTAGGCTGGCTCATAGGGAGCTGGCTTGTAGGCTGGCTCATAGGGAGCTGGCTTGTAGGCTGGCTCATAGGGTGCTGGCTTGTAGGCCGGTTCAGGCTTATAAGCTGGCTTGTATGCTGGTTCAGGTTTGTAGGCTGGCTCATAAGGAGCTGGTTTGTAGGCAGGCTCGTAGGTCTTGGGTTTGTATTCGGGTTCGTATGAAGGCTTGGGCTCATAAGGTGCAGGGTCGTAAGGTTTCGGGTCATAGTTGGATTCGTATTTTGGCGTGTATACGGGGGTTTTGTACTCGGGTTTCTTGTAAGATGGCTCCTCGTAGGCTGGACGATAGGAAGGTTCCTTATAAGCTGGAGGATCATAGGCAGGCTCCTTGTAGGCCGGAGCATCATAGGCAGGTTCCTTGTAGGGAGCGTCGTATGAGGGCTCCTTGTACGGCGATGGACTGTACGAGGGCTTGGGATCGTAGTGAGCACCGTAGGTACGAGGTGCGTCCCCGTTCACGAGTGAGGCCACAAGCCCCACCGTCAACACCTGAAGGGATATATGTCAGACACGTGATGATCAATGCCAAACCGATGCACTTCATGGAGAATAAATCAGCGGCGGGGAGTACGTTATTTGCATCAACGGACAAGACGTACGGTGGCAGAGATCATTATTCTAGATAAAGACTGCAATCTGTCAGAGTGGAGATAACAAATGAAGACGATCTAACAAATGAAGACGACCTGTAACTTCCCTTTCTACGCGTAACTCGGGAGAGAGAAGGAATGGTATGTTACATAGTAGCTTGTCGGATTACGGTCCAGTAGTTGATAGGTGTCCAGGAACGCATACGCAGTGATGTGAGCTGAATAATGAATTCAGTAAACTATCGCATTATATAGTGTGGTAAATAGACCAATGACTTTCAATAAATCTCCGCTCCCACTGGAGCTATTTTACATGAAACTATTTCACAACTATTCCACGAAATTGTTTCGGGCAGCTTTCACTGCGCATAGATCTATGTACCAACATATCTTCTGTATTTCTACCCAATTCATCGCTCCGAGGCAAGGCTGTGAGCAATGTTTAAAATGAAGTTGGGTAATCGAAATGGACAATTTATGCTGACAGGACACGCCCGAGTGGTATGATTGCATATCATCCAAGCTACATCGAACTTCTTTTCCGTTTAAATTTATTTTTTAGACTGGCCTTTTTCTTGCAGTTTGTTTCGTTGAGCATATTCTTATCGCTGACAGACGAATCATCAAGCATAAAACTAAAAGTTTATTCGGAGTTTCCTTTCGTCTTCATCGTAGAACCATGAATCACTCAAAGGGGAATGGAGTCTCCCGTTTTTTTTCCAATGTTCGGTTTCTTTTGAATAATTGCTCCTTGCCTTGCTTTGGCGATATCAATTTGAAGGGAACACCAAAGGTTATAAATAACATGCCGAATTGTTTACAGTGAAAGTTTCCTGAAAATTGCTCCAGTGACAGCAGGGATGAACAGGTTTAAAGTCGTTTGCCTATTTTTTCCGTACCCTGCATGCAACTAAGTCATATAAGGAATTTTCCAGAGCACTCATCTGTGACGATACAATGTGTCGCAAACGCCAGTCAGCGTTCGAACGGTGCTAGGTTATGCAATCTGACTCGAAAACTTTAGAACTGACACGAATGTGGCTGCATGCATGATAAATCCCGCTCTATGTTCCAGGGAAGTTTATGCATAGACTTCAGCCAATCAAATTGCTGCTAATGACACGTTAGTAATACGAGGGATAAGGATTTCTATTCATTTTCCTTTCGATGGGAGGTATGGGAAATAATTCATGGATCAATTGATCTCCTTAAGCTTTAGGCACGAAGGCACGAAACATTTGCATCTATTTTCTCCTTCTACCGTTGCAACGTCATCAGTCGTTACCAAATGCCTCCATGGGCAACCCTTCCCCCCCTTCCCACTCACCTCCCCCAACCTCCTTTCCCCCCTCCCCTCCCCCTTCCCATTTCCCCGCTGTAACGCTAGGTATCCCCCTGGCACATAATTCAAATGTTCTACCTAATCTGCTAATCTGAATAAATCTGATCCCAATGATGATAATAGGGTTAAGGGGTGAGTTAAAAAATGACTCTAACCCAAGCCTCTAACTCCCTCGGACTTGAGTTGACTTAAAAGTGAGTCCTATAATTTGGGATTGTCGATTTCTAATTCGCATTCGAACTCAGCCTTCAACTCGGCACAATGATTTTTTAAAACTAGACTCTCCAAGTCTATCGAGTCCCAACTCTATCTTAGGCGATTCCAAAGTGAATACCGTGAGTGAATAAATAAATAAATAAATGAACGCTAGATTAGTCAAGGCAGCATTTGAGCGGTCACATGCAAGAGAAGGAAGCCAGATTTCAAATTATGTGCAGTTTCAAATCAAAGTCAGTTTTTGCTCTGAATTGCAAAATTGTGTCGGAATCAGGAACGACCCACAGAAGTGGGTTCGAGGTTTTCTATGAAAACAGGCAGAAATCTTGAAAATCCCTTTGAAAGAAAAGAATAATTCAAAATAAAAAATTTTTCGTCCGAGAAGAGGCTTTTGTGAACCTATGTCTTGTCCCGTATTAGGCTTTTCAGTATTCCCCTTCTCTTACAGTTCAAGAAGAAAGCTTTAAAGAGGATACAACTTTTGCACTGAGGTGCATACAGACCACACGTAACCATGCCTGATTATCAACTGCTCGTGGAAGGAAAAGGTTGGAAATGCGATCTGTGCTTGACAATATCAATTCAATGTCGAGAAGAATACCCTTACCAAGACTAAAGAAACTAGAACAACCACGTTATACCGTGAAGTCCAGAGTTCTCACACTTTCCCCGCAAAAAAAAAGAGCGCGCCAAAGAAAAGAGCAACGAATGCATCAAGTTTGAAGCTTACCGAGGACCTTCAATAAGTTTTAGCGACAATTATTTAGTTTTCTGTAGCCGATAGCATACGCCTTTGAGAAGTTAAAGACATATCCTTCCAAATGTTGAAGCGTCCCTAGCACTAGAGTGAGGTAAACTACAGAATTCAGAAGTTGACACCACAATCCTTGAATTTACGAAAATTCATTTCAGCAATCCTTGAGCCGAGAACTGGAAATAACCACGCGGGATATTTACCCAGCAACCTCACAGCAAACATACCGCAAGATGACCACGCAGAACCAGAAAGCATACCTCAGCCTAAGAACCACTCTAACGACCGACCAACGTAGGACGGCCCTCACTTCCATGCACTTACGACAAAAACTTAAGATCGAAAGGAATGCCCCCCCGCAGCAACGACCCGAGACCCACCTGAAAGAGCATGATGGAAGAAGCACGAGCAACCAGCCTTGTTCCAGGGGAACTCTGGAGGGGAGGCTCCCGAACCCGGCTCCTTTTATAGTCGGATGGTGTAACAGAGGCTTCCAGGCCCAGAGGTCAATAAAATATGGCTCGGGCCGCTGCGGTGCCGTGCAATGCTGACAGCCCCTAATCGCTTACGAGAGGGGCACGTTGCTCAATCCGTTCGGGGGTGCTGGGTAATTCCGCCACGTGGGTGGGGTTTCCCGTGGACATCTTCGTTTGCGCAATCCAAGGTGAGGATAAGGCGGTGATCGGAAGTGACGCGTGGACTATGCAAATTAGGGTCGGGGGGAATGCATGATAGAATGCATGACTGACTGTATGACAGAATGTATGATAAAATGTATGATAGAATGTGTGATAGAACAGAGACCAGCCTTGGCCCTCTGACGCGACGATTTCATTCATGCGTTTCTCGTGGGAGCAGTGGCTCTGATTTCTTCTAACCTTGCTCCGGTTTTCTCTCTAAACAATGTGAGCATGATGGGTCGCTTTCGACCGACCTTCGGAAATGTTTTTAAAATATGCTAAGCGTGTCAAACGAGTGGGAGATGGGATCAGTCGGTTTCCTCAGACTCCGATCTGCCAAAAGGCTCCCCCGCCGAGACGGATCCGAAGTCTGGAACGACTTCGAATTTCTTTCCCATTGTTGTGCGGGGGGGGGGGGGGGGGGGGGGGAGGGGGGGGGGANGGGGGGGGGGGGGGGGGGGGGGGGGGGGGGGGGGAAAGAGATGAAAATAAGAGTGACGCCGTGGGAAAATTCGCTTAACAATCGACAATGCAAATGGCTTTGAAATGTCACGCTGAAATCGATGCTGAACGCATTTTTGCTGGTGCCAATCTGGAATCTCCTCTGAAAATAATTCGTTATTCATCCGTTTCTCCCGTTCGGAGGTGAAAAAGCATCTCATTTGTGCATCGGCACTCGAAGGCCTCGAAGACCTCGAAGGCTTCGAAGGCCTCGCGTCGATATTGCCTTCTGCGGACACCCGCCCCGACGAGACGAATGGAGCCGGGACGTACTCGTACCTCAAGTACCGGGGGTGAGAGTCACGAAGGCCCGGATGATCTCGGGATAATCCATCTCATCGTATTTGCATAATAATGAGACGTTCCGCTTTTCCCTCGCAGGAGTCGGCCCGAGACACAGCGAAACGCAATAAATTAATTCCCCGAGACATTTCACATTCTCCTCTTTCACACGTCTCCACTTCTCGCATGAACGAGCAATAATCTCACTCAGACTAAAAAGCCCGCGAAGGCAAGTGTCAAGGGCTAACCAACCCAAATTGCCCCATCGTAAAAAAAAAGGAGAGCGTTCGAAGAAGAAGTGATTTCCATTGAGGATATGCCAGCCGGAATAATTTTCTCCGGGCGATGACGCAAGGCGTTGCGTCACGTGACTGCATCTCTTCGTGTCGCCGGAGCCTGAGTTTCTCACGACGATCATCGTGATTCACACATGAATGCAAGCGCACCGGGGGTCTCATCCTTCGAGCCCCCCATCGCCCCCCATTGCCTCCGTTCGTCCCCATCGCCCCCCATTGCCTCCCTCCGCCCCCATCGCCCCCTATTGCCCCCCATTGCCTCCCTCCGCCCCCCATTGCCCGCCTTCGCCCCCCTTTCTTTCGATCGGAATTGAGTCTGTTCGGTATTTTATCAGTACTCTTTCATGAGTTGAATATTTTTCCGACGATCGGTCGCGATGACAGTAATCAGGAACCTTATCGCGTTAGACACCCGTAATTTCTCCGTCGCGTTTCTTCGAAGGAGTGGCTGCCACGTGATTGCACGTTCATGCGTGCAAGGGGGGCGTCGTTCATAATTCAGCGATGCCTTTTATCGCGCTCGGATCTTCCGCGATAAGGACTGGCCCAGTTGCCGAGGAAAAGCTGTGCCAATAGATGCGACGGTCGAAGGGAACGCAACTGCCGGGCGATGTTGTTCACGCGTTTTGTTGTAATTTACCCTCTGGCGTTGCCAATTTCCTCGAACCGGTCAGAATTCGGCGAAGCGAAATCGGAGAGAAACCAGGTGTCAGCCGTCGCCGACTTGATTGAGAAAGTCCAAACTGACAGGGGCTCATTAAAAAGTTTCCCGGGGGAGAAGGGGGAAAGGAAAAAATTCGGGGAGGGATTCCCAATCAGTATTTTGGCCCGGAGGGGGCATTCCAGCAATCTCGAGAGAAGCACAGATGCCATCGACGAAAATATCTCGAGAATCGAGAAACCCCCTTCTCAAGGTCTCATGCCATAACAAAGGAAAGTATGAAGCGCAAACAACCATCTCGGACTCACCCAGACGTTAAAAACACCCTCTCCCCACCCCCACCCCCACCGCCCCCCACCCCCCTTGGAAATCCAGTTCCGACAGGTTTTTAAATTTTCGAGGCTTTAAAACACGCGTCATCCCCGGAATCCCCGCTCAACGCCCGAAAGGGTCATTGTGAAACCCCCTCCGATAATTTGGAAGGAGGAGACGGAAACAGGGCTGGGCCGCGTCCTCCTTATGCAACTCCGCACTCCTTAATTGAATAGATCACGTAGGAGACCCGCAGGATGTTTCTCGTCTCTCTACTCCTCTCTCTTCTCTCTACTCTCTTCTCCTTTCGCCTCTCTCCTTTCGAAACGGTCGATCGGTGGCGAAGGGGGCTTCTCCCGGCTGTCATTCGTCTCGAGGAGTTATGCTTCTGGTCTATATCGCTTCTGGGATCTCGGCGTGGCGCTGCATCATCTGCATGCAGATGCATATGCATACATTAGGGCGACCAGGCGTCCCGTTTCAATTTCCCTTTCTATCCTGGTGTCCGGGTTTTTTTTTTTTTTTTTTTTTTTTTTTTTTTTNGGATGATTTATCGCAGTGGTGTCCGGTTTTTTTTTTTTTTTTTTTTTTTTTACCGTTGCAGGGACTGCCATTCAGGCGTTTTCTTGGAAGTGTCCCGGTTTTTCCCGTAGAAAATCTGGTCACCCTAGCGTACATATATACACATAATATATATTATGGTATGAGAAATTAAGCGAAGACATTTTTTTTCTAACTTAAATGCAAAATATTTGCAATTTTTATGAAATTTGAATGGAATTCTTTCGCACAAAATGCGAGTGCGCGCAGCGAAATATGATATTGAGTGATGATCGTTTTAACCGTTTCGTGCTCAATCGACGGGGACTGAAACCGGTTCCTGATCATTTCACGGATGTTCGCCCATAAACCCATTGAAGATGATGGACGTTCTAGTTTGGCCAAGGCAGCCGATTAGTTGTCTAGATGATGCTGACAGTGTCGTGGGAAAAAAAATTAAATTCGAGGATGTTTGGTCGCGTTAAGAACGTTTTTTTAATGCAAAAGTAAGCGAGGAAAATGGGGGGAAAAAAAATAATTCGGCGCCGAAAGTTATAATTTATGACAACATTCGCTGGACCTCCTTAAAAAAAAATTGCTTCCTTTATAGTCCCGTATCATCGTTACAGATCAATGTATTGCGAGGTTGCGAGTAATATATTACAGGACCAGTTTTCTTACATTCATCACTGCAGCTGATAGACTCACAAACAGGCAGTTGAGCGATTTATCTTTATAATGGTTCGTGTTCGGAGAGTGGCGTGAGGGATTCATGTTCCTTCGGCAGCTCTAAGGCACGTTCTCGCCGCTTCTGTTTCAAAATGGAAGCGGTGGAATGCTTTAACATTTTATGGGGCTGTAAAAAAAAAAAAAAAATTCAACGTTCGTGTCACGCGTGGAATCCAGTGTATCGAAGACGGCAATTCCAAAGAAAGTCAGGGAATTTGAGTTTTTTTCATTATCGTGAAACTCTTCTAAACAGGAATATTACGTGCGACGACTGAGGAACGTTTAGCCCTTTCACGCAAGAATTATGATAAGATATGAATTCAGGTCTATTGATTTTTTTGTTGGTTTTGTTTGATGACTTAAACACCTTTTTGTACGCGAACATAATTTTTTTTTAATTTTTCCCGAAATCACAGAACCAAAAACAATTCCGTCCACTATAGTGGACACCATACACTTTCGCTTTTGACGACAAATACTGAGCCTTCGGAAAGCTCAATTACAGGCCCGCAATTTTGCGGCAGTTTCACGTGTTAACTCATTTGCAAGACTTGTAAATGAGTAAGAGAATTTCCATACATAGTATGGAAACTTTCCATGCAAATAAATCTATTTGCACGCGTTTGTATTTTGTTTCATCTTTGTATGACCTCGGGAGTCCTAACTACGGCCCTGCTCTTCAATTTGGGAAATGACCTTTATTTTGTCCCAAGTCAAGACGCATGCCGACATGCCACGCCCATTTCTCCTCGTGTCTTTCTCGGAAGGGTAAATTTGACTGCAGTCGATTGGCAAGGATGGTGCCGGTTGCGAAAATTTGTTAGGGTTGCGAGCTCTTCTAGCCATGATTGGGAAGCGACTTCAGTTATTGAAGGATTTCTTGGGGAAAAAAGGTTAATTACCTACTTTTGTTGAGGAATGTGGTCATCGTCCAAACCCAAAATTTCATCGCGTGTGTCGACATCGCTCTGGTCTGACTCTGAGGTCACCGTTCTTAGCTCATGGCGTCAACTCTCTCCCTTATTCAGAGTCGTGAGGAAAATCCTCAAGAGCTTTAATTGTTTTCCTAAGTGACGAATAGAGAAGACAGAGAAATTGCATATCATAGAATATGTTCACCTTCACATTCGCAATAATGTGCTGGAAACATGCGACTAATTGAAAAATCGATTTACCTAACATTTCTTAACTGAAAAATACCGCCTTCAAATCACACGAGCAATTGTTATTTAATTTTTTTTCTGAACTGCCAGTCTTTTCCTTCCATGCGGCGCTATGGTGGGAGTAACGCGTCACGTATTCTTCTTTTCACCAGTTATTTCCCACGATAGGTATTAAATACCAATAGCATCCAATGGACATCCGTGCACTGAAGTTGAAAGCATGCACTCGAGTCATAAAAGTGAAGCCACCTTTGGGCCCATACATGGTTAACGTCGCGTCCACTACAGTGGACTCGATAGGGTTAATGCTAATATTAAAAATCTCAGACGAAATCAGTCAATCGGTCATGCAGAAATTAGTTTTCGAGTATCGCATTACGATCCAAACTAATTCCAAGAGGGAATGAAACCCTAAATCCGACGTGTTACAAAATAACGTAAATAATGAGACGAGCCGCTAATCCCCGACCGGCGAAAGAC